GCGCTGGGAGCTGGCTGCCTCCTCCAGACCTTCCCCCTAGGGAGCAGCAAACCCATAAATATCCTCCCCTCGCTCTTCCCTGGTGATTTAAAGCCCTGTGCAGGGCTGCAGGGTGGAGGAGGTGGCTGGGGATGAGACCTGGGAGTGGAGAGGGAGGGATTTTTTCCTGGCTTGGCCCCAAAAGCAGCCCTGGGTGGCATGGGCACACCATCCTCAACCTCCTGAGCGGAGATGAGGCCCCATCGTCTCTCCTAGAAACTGTCTTTAAAAAAATACCTCCTGCCACCCATCTCCAGGCAGCTGGTGAGACCGCCGAGGTGATTCCCACAGCGCCTGGGGGGTTTGGGGAAAGGAGGGCTGGAGCCACACCAAACCCACCCAGCCATGAAGCTGCGCTCCCCACGCGTCCCCACGCGGGGACATCTGCTCTGTCCCAGCCCCGTGCAGCCCAGGGTGTCACCATGGGGTGGATATTAGGGAGAAAAGTCCCAAATGGGGGACCCCCAAGGGATCCCATCTCGGGGATGGTTTATTTGTGGGGTCTGAGTGTCCTGCCCCCATCCTGGAGGGAGAAGCTGGCCATCATCTCCTCATGTCCCCCGCTGTCCCCACCAACCCGAGTTGTTCCCTGGGCAGGCAGATGCTGTGCAGGCAGGTTGGGTTTGGGAGTTATGGGGCGTGTTTTCCTTTTTTTTTTCCAGTGGGAATTAAAATAAAATAAAACAAAAGAAAGGGCAAAGAAATAGAGAGGGCATGCCACTGCTCCAGGGGGAGCCTCTCTGCCTGTCCTCTCCCCCTGCCGCCGTGCCCTGTGCCTGATCTGTGCTCACAGCAATCTCCCATGGCTCCTGGAAGCTGTGTGCTCACACGCCGCTCTTCGATTAAAAGTTAACGAGCTATGTTATTGGCAAATAAACTGTTTATCTCGCCGCCGTTCGCCCTGCCAAATGGAGCAGGGCTTCAGACAGGGGAGCTGGCGCGTTGTGACGAGCGCCCGCGGCCCTACCCGGCGCCGGGCCCTGGCTGCGGTGCCATCGCCGTCACCTTTCCAGGCGTGGGGACCCGGAGGGTGTTTGCCTAAAGAGGGGGATTTGAGAATAGGAAAGGCCCGGGGCTGTCCAGCCCCTGGGGAGGAGGGCATGGAGCCATGGGGACCCTCCGAAGGATGGCTCACGGAGCATCGCTTCTGGCACCGACCCCACTGCCAGCGGGGACGCGCCTCTGTTTTTGGGCAGCCATGCGTGGCAAATCAGCTGCTGGAAAAGAAAGAGCTGAGCTGCTTTTTTTTAATTTTTTTTTGGCCCGGGGTGTGATGAGAGGAGGTCGTGAAGCGTTTCTGGAGGCCAAGAAGCAAAAGGAGCCGCCGCCGCGTTGGGGCTTGCAGCAGGACGAGGGCATCACAGGAAGGGAAACGAGGCGTGGTGGCGAAAATTGGATGAAAAACAGCTATTAGAGAGTGGCGTTTCTCTTCTGTGCTTAAACTGCATCAAGAAAAAAAGCCACGCGTTTTTCTGCAGCTGGCGCCTCTGCTGATGCACAGGAAAATAGTGGAGAGAAGATTAAAATGGAACTGGCTTGGAATCTGTGCAATCAGGGAAAATATCTCGGTGATTTGCTATTATAATTTTCAATAACAAACTGCAGGGCTCCTGCCGCACTAATAATAACAGTCTGAATGAGGTGGGGAAGGAACCTGCCGTGGGGTGCTTGTGTGTCTGTGTTTGTGGAAAGCACTTTACAATCTCCCCCATCTCCTAATTTTGAAGAGGTATTTTTAGTGCGTATTTCAGAGGGATTTATGTAAACACATCTGCTGGAGTTTGGGCTTGGAAAGGGCTTTACAACCTTCCTTTTCCCCCCTCCCTCTCCTGGGACAAAGGAACGGTTCCACAATTTTCTTTTTCAATCAGCTGAGAAGAGACAGAGAAAATAAAAGGGTAATTTTGCCAGCACAGAAAAAAAAATCTGCTCTGCCCTAAGTGGTGCGGAGCAGCCAAGGTGCTGGGCAGAGGCGATGTGCGGGGATGGCTGCGGGACCGCCGGGTCCCACTGCTGTGGCTGCGGGCACTTCTCACTCTTCCTGGAGCTACGGGTGCCCGTGTCCTTTCATGGGCTGATGTCCCTCAGCAAGGTATCCATCCTCAGCTCGGCCAGTGAAATATTTGCAACTAACAGGCTCAGCAGAGAGGCTTTAACCTTCTGAGTTTTCGGGGCTCCAGTTGGCTGGAGCTGTGCCTGTTTTTGCACCGGGGTCTGCTGAGGTGATGGGAATGAGAAGCCAGCTGGGGCTGAAAAGGGCAAGGTAGTGAAGTGCTGGTGCTGGTTTTCCCAAATATTCTGTCTTGAGCTCAGAAGTGCCGGTGGAGTGGAACTCCCAAGCGTGGCCAGTGCTGGAGGTCTCCAAAGTGCTTGTGCACGCAGCCAGATCCCTGCGGCATCGGGCTGGGCATCCAGCACCCCATTCCTCTGTGCCTGTAGAAGTAAAATAAATCTTTTTTAAAAAAAAAGGCCTGGTGGGCATGATCCAGCCCCGTTGTGCCTGTTCTGCTGCCTGCACAGCTGCTGGGAAGGGCGGAGGGGCCTTGGAGTGGCCCCAGAGGGCTGGGGCTGCTGGAGCTGGTCCCGCGGAGGGGAGAGATGCTGCCACTGCTGCCCTGGCAATGGTGTCCCGCAGCTGGAAGGTCACGAGGAAGGCAACGTTCCAGCTTTTCTCTCCTCCAGAGAGAAAGGAGAGAAGGAGAAAGGCTGCTTGATGAAAGCTTTGTGGCAGGAGATGGCTGGGGGACGTGGGAGCCCGGGGACAGGGGAGGGGGCTGCGTCACCGAGTGGCCTGATGAGACAGTACGTGGCCATGGCACTGAGCTCTGTGATGGAGATGCGGTGATGGTTTGTGAGCGAGCTCTGCTCCCCGAGGCTGCAGATACCCTCTGCCTTTGCCCCGTCCTCAGTGAAAGGCCAGCAGCCACCTCTCCACGCTGTCATACCCTGGCTGCCAGCCCCAGCCCCGTTCTCCAAGCGACTGCAGCATTTTATGGCGTTTTCTCCCCTTCACGTTAGCAATACCAAAACGCAGCCTGGTTGGGAAAAGCAGTGAAGTGCTCAGGCTGGTGGGAGAGGCGAGCACCCGGGCAGAGCCCTGTGTGCCCTCTGCTCCCCTCCCATCCGCCAGAAGCTGGCCAAAATTGCCCCCAAAATCTTCCTGGACCAGAGACTGCCGCAAAGGGAAGGGACGTCCCCTGCGCAGAGGAAGCCTGTGCTTCCAGTCACATTGCTGGCGTGTCCTTGCCGCCCTCCTGGGGCTGCCTCCAGCAAACTAAGCTCTTTTTCCCCAAAAAAAACCCTCCACAGAGGCTTTCTCCTCCCTGCAGGGGAAGGTGTGACAGCCCTCCCTCTAAGGCAGCGGAGGTCTTTCACACCGAGCTGCAAGCGCTTTTATATCAGGGATGAAAGACACGAAAGACTACAAAGTATATATATATATATAGTTAAATATATATTTATATTCGATCAATGTCCGTGGAGCTTAACGCGCAGGGATTACCAGCCGGTTTAGTGTGTTAGTGACTCTCAGCTTTCACCGGAGGAGAACATTTGGTTGAATCAAAGCCAGCCTTTGATGGGATTGGAGAATAATTATTTCCATCGATAATTGCTTCCAAGCCCAGAAGAAATGGTTCGCGGGGTGTTGCAGGACAGCAGCAGCCCTTGTTCGCCTCCGGGCCAAAATGTTTTAACCCCGGGACCTGAAAATGCCATTAGTGGGATCGGGGACCAGGGTGGGGGACATCACCCACTGTACCCGGGGACAGCCCCCGCCTCTGCTCCTGGAGCCGCTCCAGCCCTGGCTTTGCACAGATCATTAATTTGGGGACGTTTTTAATGGATCCTAATGATTGAGCCTCGGAAGGCTGCTCTTAAAAGGGGTTCGGGAAAGGCCACGAGCTAATTAGCTCACGCAAAGAAAGCAATTAACCATGTAGCTTCCCGGATGGTTACAAACCACATAGATGTTGGGCAGAGACCGGGGGATTTATTACAGGAGGAGTAATAGGTTTGAAAGCCGGAGGGACCGTCACATCAGCAGCACCTCCTGCATGTCCTGGGCTGGAAACATTTGCCCCAGATTCACCCCATCGAACCCTAGGGCTTGTGCTTGGCTAAGGCACATCCCTAAAATGTTCGGACACTGAAAAATGTGTGCTGAGAAAGAGGAAGCTGTTAGGGAAGGTGGGGTTTGGCTGAGAGCACAAGTGGAAATAGGGGTGACCTCTCTTCTGCAGCTGCTCCTGGGCCAACTGCAGCCCCCAAAATTGCTTTGTGCATGATGGGGGCAGGCAGAAGGACATTGCCAGGGGCTGCATGCTTCTGGCCAAGGCTAGCCAGGGCTAATGTGCTCCTTTACCATGGCATTGCTCCTTAGCCATGCTCCTGGGCGCATTGAACCCCCCAGATGTGCAGCATGCTCCTGGCCCCAGCCCTTCATCCCACGTGCAATGGCTGTGACAGTCTCTGCAGCCTGCCCTGGACACCCTGACACTTGCTTTATTTATTGAATAATACTTTGGATGACACCATGTTCTCAGTGCCCCCTCCAGGTGTGGTTTATGGCTTTGCATCACTCCTTCTGTTTAAAAAAATATCTGCAGGGCTTTGCTTGTGTGGGTTCCCCAGGGCTTGTGTAGGCACCTGCAAGGCTCAGGCGTTTCCTCTTGGCTCTGAGGGGCTGCCCCAGTGCCTCCAGTTTGGGCTTTCAACAGGACCAGCTGTGCTGCTGGCCCAGCACCTTGTTTGTGGGTGTGGGGAGGGAGCTTTGCTTCCACCTGGGTGCTGATGAGGGGGATGCTTTGGGGGAAGAGGACATGCAGAAAGGGGCTGGCAATGCAACAGCAGGTTTGGGGAATGGTGATTGATTTGGTTTTTTACCCCTTCGTTTTCCTGGGATTTTCACTCCCCTGTTTTTTTTCCTTCCTTATTGCTCTTTCTGTCCTGATACCCTCTAGTGGGCCACTCAGCTGCCTGCCCTACCCTGCAGAGGACAGACACCCCGAGAAGCCAAGCGGCCGCGTGTCCAAGGAGGCCTCCAGCACTAACGGCTGGGCGAGAGGGAAGGAGAGGCGCAGCCATGCCCGCCGCAGGTCCCGCAGGTAGGGGATGGGGCGACCCCAAAGGGGACAGGGCCACCCCAAAGGGGACAGGGGTGTCAGCAAAGGAAACACCGGAGAGCATATGCTCATCCCACGTGGGGTCTGTGAAAGCTGTGGGTGGGTTGAATGGCCACGTGAGTTGCAATTCCATGAAACTCATGGAGAAACCCGGTGTCTGCAGTTCCCTTTTCGCTCCACGTTGTGCTCACGCAGCCCCTTGCAGCCAGCCCAGGTGAGCTGCCAGCATCCCATGTGCAGTGGGGCCTGCGGGGTTCCCCCAGCTGGGGATCAGCTCAGCAGTTCCCACCTCCACGTGCCCACATCAGACTGGCTGCTTTGCCTTCGTTAGGGCAGGGTTTTGTTATCAGCTCATCATTTGCCCCTGACTATTCGTGAGGGAAAAAACGAATGAAACCTTCAAAGCGAAGCAGCTGGGGTCTCAGAGCTGCCTGCTGAACCGTCTCTGGGATTAAAGCTTCTCCATTTGGTTAAAGATGCTGGAAAGAAAGAGAAAGAAAGCACATTTCCTATCTTCAGATTGCAGGCTAACCGGAACAATAATCTAAAGTGTATTTTTAATTAGACTCTGATTACAATCACAGAAGAACAATTAAAGTTGGGTCAGCCCAGGGAGAAGTCTTCCACTTCAAAGACAAAAGAATTCATCTCGGGAGCAGGAGGAGGGCTCTGCAGGAGTTGCCTGTGGCTGAGCAGCGCAGGCTGGAGGTTTCTCTGTGCTCTGGCTTGGCCATGGCAGGGCTTGATTGAGAAGGGAGCTGAGATGTGCTCCTGCTTGCTGGGGAGCCCAAATTTGTGTTGTCCTGGGTTCTGCTATCTCACTAGGGCAACTGAGGTCCTCTCCTGCATAGCGATGGTCTCAGTGGGCGCTGGGATGAAGGCTCTGCTCACCCCCTCACCAGGACAGCTCTCTTCCCTCAGAGCCCCGGGTACACTTGGTTGTGCCTGGTCAGACAATGGGAAGAGGTTTTCCAGCTCCTTGTCCCCATGCCTGCCCTGCAAGGCGATGTTGGTGACCTGCTGCTGGTGGCTGGCAGCAGGGCCAGCTCCTGGTGGGCTTGGCCCTGAGCTGCAACCCTTCAGGCGGCTTCACTGGGGCCACCAACGTGCTGTCCCTGTCACCTGAGAGGTCAACATGCCAGGATGCTTGCTCTGCCTTAGGACTATTATTACCAATAATGTCCTTTCCTTTGTCCTGTCTGCAGCAAATACTCAGCTCTTCACGTTTTCCAAACACGAGGCCACGCTCATGTCCCCACAGGTGGCTCCTCCTGCCAGTGGGACAAACAGTGGGGAAACTGAGGCACAGACCCAGTGCCCTTGTGTGACCAGTCTGCTTTATTTTGGATCACTAGCCCCCAAACATTTCATATTTTTAGTCCAGTGCTCTGAATTAATTTAACTGCGGATTTTACTTTTCATGGAAACATGACATGATTCAGTGTCATGTGTTTAAAAAGAAATTAGTTCACAATTTTTTAAGGTTTAACAGCTGTGCAAGATATACGTAGCTTACTAAATTACCATAGCATCTCAATAAATATATATTTTTCTAATCAATTGCCATTTAACATATGTCATGTCTTTTACTACTGTTAGATGCATCTGATTGCAATAATTATTATATGCAAATTAAATGTCAATTAATTATTTAAAGCATATTTACAAAGAGCAACAAAACCTATAAATCTGTTCTGGAGTCATTAACCTCAGCAAACACGTTTTAAATAATCAGCTGGCACTGCATCCACGTACAGTGGCTGTCTCATTATATCTCCATTAAATCCATGCAGGAGACACTTAATTTAAAGTGTGACCAAATTATTCATTAGAGGGTAATTAGGGGCTCACCCACACCCCTGATCTGCTGTCAGAAGTGATCCCTCTGCCCTGTCTGTCCCTCTGGTGGGGACAGCGGCATGGGGAAGGGAGCAGCCCCAAGTGAAATGATACAGACGGTGCATTTATTTATTAATTTTAAAACATTTTTTGATTTAGCCCCTCGTGCAACGGGGAGCGCGCACCGCTGCCGGCCCGGGGGAAGAAGAAGAAGAAGAAGTCTGGCCGCAAGAAGCGCCGGAGGTGAGGGCGGCCGTGACAGCGTGGGCCTGGGCTGGGGCGAGTGGGGATGAGGGGACTGGCGGCCCTCACTGCACGAGGGGAGGAAACGGATACAAAATGGAGGTGTGAGGGCCTGTTGGCAGGCCCAACGAGGCACCGCCATGTTGTCGCCCTCCCCTCACAGAGGGCTGGGGCTCAGCCCGAAGCCCCCCAGGCCGTGAGCCCGGGGATGGCGCGGGCCGGGATGGCTCTGAAGGGGTGAGGGGGCCATGCAGCCCCTGACACCCCTTTGCCCCCCCAGGTCTCCGTCCTACAGCCCCTCCCCTGTGAAGAAGAAGAAGAAGAAGAGCTCCAAGAAACGAAAAAGAAACAGGTATCTCCTTGGGAAACGTCACGGCTGGCTGGTGGCCGTGCAGGGGTGTGCTGGGTTTTGAGGGGGTGTCTGGGCAGGAGGTGGGAGATGTTACAGCCCTCCCACGGCTCGTAGTTGCTCGTGGTGGTGGCCATCGAGGCAGCAGGGCCCCACCAGAAGGTGAGATGGCCGTTGGGGTGTCTTGGTGAGCTGTCAGGGTGGCAGAGAAGATGGACAGACAGACAGGCAGGTGAGCCAGGTCAAGGCCAAGGCAGCCTCCACCAGCTCCACAATCTTGCTGTCAAATTTCATGTGGCTCCCATTCGTTTCCCCTTTCCATCAACCCACAGAAAGCGGCAGCATCTGAGCCATCAAAAGGCTCCAGCCAGCTCCCCATGCCCACATCTCAGCCCCGTCCTTCCCCTCCCCAGGCACCAGGAGCCATCAGATTTGCCCTTTCCAGCCCAAAGCCATCTCCCAGCCATGCTGGCAAGGGGGAGAGCTCGCCTCACATTGCTTGAAGTCATGGGACTGCCTCCGCCTTCCCTCTTCTGTAGTCCATTTTTAATTTAAAAAGCATGATGAAAATTTAAAATTGCAAATATTTTACCATTTTCCCTCAACTGTTAAATCAATATTTGCAGAGAACAGTGGATGCCATCTCCCTCGGAAAGTTCATGTATTTATAATTTATTGAATCAAAGCGAGAAGCTACCAAAAGTGGCTAACAGGGTGAAAAGCAGAGCATGTTTCTTAAAGAGGAAGGCAGGGAGAAGGAGATACAAGGAGATAGAAATCCCTTTAAAATAATTCCTTTTCAATAAGAGATTCTTATGCTCTTGTATGGATGCCACCTTCTGATAGTTGTCCTGGGTCAGATGCTCTTTGGCTTTCCACCTGTAGTACCCATCTGTGCTCCCTACAAGCTGATGATAAGCTGTATCTGGTCCCAAAAAGCAGCATGATCAACCACTGAGCATTAGTGACTGATGAAGGTCATTTCCAGACACCTGGTAACACGTCAGCTACAGATCCCATTTGCCATGGGTAATCTCATGGCCCCTCTAGGCAGCACTTCAGGCCATGTCCTCTGTGGGATGTTGTCCTAGAAGCTCAGATGGGCCATCAGGCTGCGTAGTAGACCGGGGTCAGGCCTTGCTGCAACATGATCTCCATGTTCCCAGGGTTTTCTTTGAGGACCACCAGCATGATGGCTCCTGTGTCCTCCCAGGGATGCTCCAGGAGGGAAGATTTTGCATGATCATGGTTTGACTGTGAACTTGCTCTGGGGTTATACAGAAAGAATTCCTCCTTTGGCTGCTACATGGTCCTTCATACAGAAAACCTGGGACTGGACTCTCCTCTGTCTCTTCAAACTAATCGTAGTGCAAGACTGCGGAGGCAATATTAGTGAAAAGGGAACCGCCAGGGACATGGGAGGTGCTCAGTCTATAGATGGGCCTTACCATATTGTCTCTGATTCAGATTTCCACTTCTGTTAAACTGCTGTATTCAATGTAAATATTTGTGTCTTGCAGGTTATCCTCAAAGAAGAGAAGACACAGGTAAGAGTTGAGCAAGCATGGGTGGTCCCTTAGAAATAATAGTTTAATGGTCTCAGGATCTCATGAGGTTGATAGTTGACTGGGTGGGGGCAGAAGACACTTCTGTCTCCTGGTGGAAACCCCTTGGCTCCCCCATTCCCTGTGGATTTGGGGCTACCCTTGTCCTGTTCAGCCTTATGTGTCCCTCAGATCCCGTAGGAGTCAGATCTCCCGCCCAACCTATGCAGCTAAGCAAGTAACTGGAAAGGGCATCTTGGTTAGAAGTATCCCCAGCAACAATCATCCATGTTGTATCTTTCCTGCATCTTTAGCCTTGTTTCTTTTATGGCTTCATCTGCAAGCAGTACGCATCCCTGAGCGGTGTCCATCTTTGAAACCCTCAGACTCACTCACTGCCTTTCCAGTTGTGTACTTTAAGGATGCTCCTGATCCCAGTACATGCATGTACTATTCCAGTTCTCTATGGGAAAGCCAGCAGGAGGGCTGATGGCACTGGGATTTTTTTTTTTTGTCCAAGCCCATAAGCCAGCTTTGTTAGCAGGAACTGAGACCCCCTGTGCTGAGAGAGAATCATTCATCCCTTTAATTTTTTATTGCACGCTTTTGGGCAATTTAGCTGTAACATTGTGTGTGATTGTGTGGCTCTTTATCAGAACAGAAATCTCTGAATTAATTAGCCATTTCTTATTTAGTTCTTCAAGCCCCAAAAGTAAGAGAAAGGAAGAAAGAAAACACAAAAAACAGTAAGTAGTGGTTCCTGGTACTCCCTGCCCTGCCTGTGCAGAGCTGCAGGGGTAGGAAGCATTTCGTGTGGTGGGTCCCCAGGAGCTAATGCTAGCTGCAGAGCTCTGAGCAGCTCTCTGGAATATTTTGTAGCTAAAACCAGTGATTATGGTTTTGCTGAAATAGGGAAGGGTTTGTAGGGGCTGGAGATCTTTTCTTTCTCATTTGTGCCACCTGATTCAGGACTTTTTCATGGGAGCAGAAAGCAATGGGGAATAGGGAAGAGAAGGGGTTGTTTAGAGGTGATAGAGAATGCAAAAAGGTGGAGCTGAGGTTCCTATCTGCTCTGGTAAGTGCATAAGAGAAGGATTGTGCTTCTCTTATGGGGCAGACAATCAAGGAGTATGGCATGAAATGTGGTTCCTTAGGGCCAGGAGGAGGGCCTGTAAGCATTCTGTTTTTAATTTCCTTCTCCGTCTTCTCCTGGGAATTGCAACATGTGGCATCTCACCTGCTTTCAGAGCAAGGAAACAGCTCTGGAGCTGAAGCTGTTTACTCTTAGGCAGAAAGGGGACAGAAGGACAACAACCCCTAGCACTACTGATGTTACCTTGGTACCTGTTGGGACTGAAGAGATTGGGAATCCAAGAGGAGCACAACATGCTGTGCTGCCTCCAGAGGCCAGCTGTGTTGCAATGCAGAACACCCATCTCCTTTTCTTGATATTTCTGCCTATTCAGTGGTGCACTCACCATTTTTTCCTCAAACTAAGCTACTACACACCCAGAAGTCTCATAGATTGTTGGTAAAACCGAGGCTTCCTAGATAATTGGTGAAAGAAGGCATCTCCCATATGCAGGGTGGTGTTGGCCAAGGTGCAGTAGCCTAGCAGTGTGGTTAACACAAAGGTTGGATGCCTTGCTGGAGTGCACTGACCAAGGGGAATGAGAAGAGCTTATTCCTTCCTGGTTTATCCCCAAAGAGCTGCTAGAATTGCTCTTTGGGGATAAACCAGCCAGGGCACTTTAGCCCCCATCTTTCAGCTCACAAATCAGAACTGAGTCACTCCTGGTTTCTGCAAAGCTCCCCATTGCTCCCAGGGGTGGATTGGAGAGAGCCCGTGAGCCAACCCAGATCAGGATTTTTTGTACCATCATCCTGCTTTGGCTTATCTTAGTGTTGAGCAACTGGTTATCTAAACAACATGGGACCAGTTCATCCTTCCTGCAAACAGAGAAAAGTCTTGAACTGGGAGGGAGTGGTGCAGAAGGTGAAGAGAAAATGGGGATTTTTACACAAATCCACTGTGTGAGGGAGAGATGTTCAGTATCCCTGACTTCATCTGTGCAGAAAGAAGGAAGAAAGATCCCAATTTTTTTTTTTTTTTTAATTGAATCATAGGGTGTAAAAAGCATCAGAAGAAACAGCCAAGTGGAGTTCAAGCAGTTGCCCTGGTGGTTGCCCTTTTGTCTTAGGGGAGATGCTGTTCTCAAGCAATTGATTTGCTAAGTTTTTGTGGTGCCAGACTGCTAAATGCTGTCCAGTCAGGTATATTAGCAGTGTCAAGGAGAGGTGCAGCATGGCCATGAAAGCAGACTGTTCCCATCAGCTAACCCCTCGTTAGCTTTGCCTGCTGGCACAGCAATGCCTGGCTGAGCAGATGGCTGCACTACCAGACTGAAAATACCTGCTGTGATGGGCACTGAGCATGATGAGAAGGAATAGGCACTGAAGGTGACACAGCCTGCCACCCACGTCAGCCTGCTCTGTGTGTGCAGGGCTCAAGCTTTTGGCAAGGGCAACAACAGCCCTTCAGTAATGGGGCCAGGTAAGCCGTCAGTAATAACCCACGTGGAGCAGCAGGACAGTGAACCGGGCTCTGTGTGCACATTTAGCTGGTCCCTGTTCTGTGGCCCTGTAAAGAAAGGGGGCAGCATGAGTGGACACCTATGAGCAGCCAGGTAAAAGGGTCCTGTGCCCACAATAGGGCAGCCTGCAGTTAGGGAAGCTGTCCTTCATGTTCATATAGCAATCATAAGAGCATCCTATAGGACTGGACAGACCCTCCCACCTTGAGAAGGTGGGGAAGGCAGGCAGATACTAAGTGTTTTGTATTATTTGGAACATGGCCTCTTGCATCTGCTGTTTAGAAAGGAGCCTGCACTACAGAGAGGGGCACAGCAAGAAAGGGGAGGGTTTGGGCTTTGCAATGAGTTGCCCAGAGGGACTGTGCTCCTACATCAAAGCCTAGCAGTGGGAACATCCTGGGCAGTTCCCTGGCTGTCAGGGCAGCCTGCAGGATGAAGGGAGAGTAGCTGACAGTTCTCTAAGGTCTTGAAAGCAGAAAGGATTGGTGCTGTGCTGTGTTCCTGCGTGCTAGTCCATAGATCTTCCTCCAGCAGGCTATGGAGGCAACCTAATAGCTCGTAGTTAAAATGCAAGCATAGATCTCAGTAAGATGGCTTGCCTGAATGTCGGTGTAGCTGTGAAGGGATGGAGAATTTCTCATGCCTTGCTGTACTGCACCATGTCTCATGCACCAGTCTCTTTGGCTTAAAGTGCAGCTCTTGTTTCTGATTGAAATGACTTCAGCCTCCAACTGCTGCCTCTTGCAGCCCCCAGTCTGCTGTCTAACGGTGGTTTTCCTCTCTGCCTTCTTAAAGCTCTCGTGGGCGCACCCGGAAAGCTCATCGCCATCGCCACCGCCACTCTCGCTCAGAGAGCTCCGACTCCTACTCCCCGAGCTGCCGCAGCAGGTAACGTGACCGCTCGCTGAGCTCAGGGCTGCAATAGCTTGTGTGATCCATGAGCTCTGCACAGAGCCGTGTCCCGTTCTGCTGGGACACCGTGTGTTGAGCTGCTTGCGCTCTTGGCCATAAAAGAGAGGGTTTTGGCTCGAGGAGCAGTGGCTTCAGCTTCTTAGTCCAGCAGTCACTTCTAATCCCCGTAGCTGATGCTCAGGCAGTGACAGCTGATTTCAGCCCAGTCTGCCTTCCCAGCCCAAGGGCTCTGTGCTGCTGATGTCCCAGGCAAGCCGTTAAACTTGTTCTTAGCAATGGAAATGTATTTGCCAATGGCATCTGTATCCACTGCCTTTGACCTGATTTCAGTCTCTGTCCTGTGGATGACAGATGCATCCTGAGGCCAGCTGAGTGGATGCTGGTGCTAGGGCCACATCACTGCGATAGCAAGTTGCATAGCTCATGCACATGAATTTGATACGTGTTCTTTGAAAGCACTTGACTTGATGAGCAAACCACCCCCTCTCTCCCACTCCATTCCTAATTACTGAGAATTTTCTCATGAAAATTTGATGATGATCAGTGCAGGGAGGAATGCAACCTGTAATAGGTGAGATCTTCGTGCAAGAGAAGATTGTCTTTTCTTGGAGGTGTATTGACATAGTGACATTCAAGCTGCTGGGAAGCACAGCTTGTCTTGAGCCACCATAAAATTACGAATTAGAGCTGAAATTTGGCATTAAGGACCGAAATCCACCCCAAGTTTCCTGGATGCTAAATATATATATTAAAAAAAAAAAAAAGTAGAAAAGCAAAATGTTCCTTTTCTGTCCATCGTGACTCTACAGAGGACTCATGTGGAAGGTTTCCTCCCACATGCAGTGGCTCAGCACAAAGCTGTCAAGGGTTTGTGTGGAGCTGGTAGTGGGCACCACTACAATGCCGAGGAATAACGGTTTGGTTCTTCATGTTTTCTGGAGGCACAGAGCCAGGTCTCGGGAGGAAGGGCGTAAAACACGGCGAAGATGCTCCCAGCACCATTCAAAGGTCACAGCAAAGCGAAGCTCCTCTGCAGAGGTTCAGGCCAACCAAAAAGCCAGCCAAACCCTCCCACTCTACAGCTTCCTGTCTCCCAAGGAAGTAGTAAGTATTACACACTGCTTTGCTTGAACTAGCCACAGGAATCTGGGCAAGAAATCGGCTATAAAATTTTTATAACTCAATTATAGTGATGTTAGACAAAGTTGGTTAAAACAGTATTATTTATTAATGGTGCTGTTCTCCAATGTATTTAAAGTCGCTCCTTCCTTCAGCACTTTCACATCAAGGGTGGGGTTGGAGAGGGGAAAAACTTGCCAAGACTCTAGCTTATGAATAATGAAATGAGGACATTTAACAAAGAAAAAGTGGCCTCCAGCAATGATATTTTACAGGGTTGTGTTTATTATGCAGTCTTTGCTCAGCTGAATGTGAACTTAATTCACTGGTCTTCGTGTCCGAAAGCTTAGTCCTTCAGGGGAAGAAAAGGAATCAAACATATATAAAAGAAACATTTACATTTAATGAGTTGGTGATTATTGGCAGGGGATGTTATCTGACCATCAGGGTCCTCCTAGGATCACTGTTGCTCTGGACTGACAAGCCCAAAGGCCAAATTGGGAGCTTATGAGCAGCTCTCATTGATGCTAATGGGAACTGCATGTGCAGCCAAGGGGAAAGTCAGGCTCAGTGCCTTGGGATGTTTTTCCATATACATGGAAAGAGATGATATAATACATGCCATAGAACTGAGAGAGCAAACGACAGACAAATATTAGATACTGATTGATATGAAATCTTGATTTCCATGGCACATTTCCCTCTTGTTCCTAGTAGCTGCAAAGCAGAGGTGTGATGCCCTTTGATCAGTGTTGGTATCTGATAGGCATTCTGGAGAGAGAAAGTGCTACGTAAGACCCAAAGGATTGCAGAATCTTGTATTTGTGTACGGATGTGTAATGTTAGCAGTGTCTTGAATACGTAGTCCTCCAAGCCCCAAAGTGTTATGTAATGCGGAACTGATTTTTCTCCTTTTAAAGCTAGTGCTCAACTGCAAATACTCAGTAGTTACATCAGGTGTGAGATGGGAGTCCCAGCCAGAGGAGATGTTTTATCCGCTCACCTGCACAGGTAGCATTCCAATCAAAATACGCAGATCATACACGGATGCGGACAGGCACAAGTTGTCTTTCAGAATTAATTATGTTATATACATCTACCGAGTATGTAGTACACGTGAGTCACTGCTTATAAAACCATATAAGGCAGAGCAAGAACAGAACGTGAGCACCATGCTTAGGTGCATGTCTACGTGTGCACACATGAAAAGGAAAACAAACTGAAGCTTTCATTGCTACAAGCCTGGGGTGTTGCCCTGGGTCAATTCAGGAAGGTCAGAATGAGTTCGCAGGTCCTTTCAAAAACCAGCCAGCCAAAGACTGCATCTTGCCACCAGGGTTTTGTTGGTGGTGTTCAAGTGGCATATTTTACATGCATATTTCAGGTGTGAGTCTGTTTTTTAATTGGTACTAGGTTTCTTCTCTCTGAAGCCAGGCTCCATGAATCCTGTGAGGCCAATTGCCAACTGTTTTGTTCCCAGAGTAAGAGTAAACTCTAATTTAAAATTGTAAGAACCTTTAAAATTAGCTAAACTCAAGCATGCTGCGCTCTGCTTTCCACTTGCCTCATTTGGGGTAAATGAGCATGCAAGCTGCAGGGAGGGGAAATCAGTTTTATAGTTACAGATGCAGATAACGGATGCAAAGCAAAAGTCATCTGGCTGTTGCTGTATTCTTTCTAGCAGGGGTTAATAATACAGGCAAATATTCCAGTGACAAAAAGGTGTCAATAGCTTTACTACGCATCCCACTAGTGTCCGCTCTGTTCCCAGAAAGAAGTACATTCTGCTGGGACATTGCTTAAGCACTTGTTTAAGTCAAAACCCCTGGTTGAGTGCTGCCCCTGCTTTTTTTCTGGGTAAGGTTGTTAAATATCATTTACTCAAACTGGCAAGGGAAAAATGGAACGGAAACTTTTAGGCTCTGTTAATGCCTATATACAACTGTTGTATGGCTCTCCTTTTTCTGAGTTCAAGGGTTGCTCTATAAAGGAGCTTAGCTCTGTGAGAATCTGCATTGAGAGAGGTCTGGATTTGTAATGCTCAGCTCTCTGCTCTTGCAGAAAATATTTTTGTGGAAAAATAGAGAATTCGGGTCAAAAAAATGCCATGTTTCAGTCCTCAGTGGGCGTTGCTACATCACACCCTGCCCTTTCCTCTGGCCTGAGCTTCCAAACCATCCTTACATGGAGAGATGTATTGTGGTATCTCCAGAGGAAAGAGGTTTTGCAGGGAGGATCCTGACACACAGAACAGACCCAGACAGACAATACACAAACTTGCTGAGGTAATGCTATAGCATTTCCATATCCAAGTTTTTTTTTTAAGCCAGTTTTTATTCTATTTCCTTTTTTCTGCTGACAAGTTGAAGCACTGTGTGGTAAATTTTGCCTCCACACGTTGTTTTACTCTTCTATTGGAATGGCCACGTCTAACTCAGTCTACCTTTAATTTCTGAGGGGTGAACCACACAAAAGAGTGCCCTGCCCATGCATCTACCTTGCTGCTTTCCCTCTTGCCTTTATGTGCAAGCTGATGCATGCATGCACAAGCACACAGAAACACCCCAGAGTTCCCTGCTGCTTCTGAGCAACGAAGTTCCTAGCTTCTCACTCTAATTTTTCCCTTTAATCACATGCAGCCACAGTAGACACCTGTTGAGAAATAGGGCTGTGGCTCTGTGCCTCAGCACGCTGAGAAACCCTGGGTAATATGCAGCGTCTCTTCCGAACGTTAACAACAACCCCCCTAACCTGCTGCAGACACTTTATCCTACACCAACACAGCTGTATTACATGCCCCTGTGCTCTTGGTTGGGCGGCGCAATATAAATACCTGCAGGGTGCAACTTTAATTGCCTTTGTTGTACCTGATGAAGATAGCTGCACTCTGCATATATTTCCCTGCCAGCTCCTTTACTTTCACTGAAGCTCGTTTACAGCGTCACAAATTAACAGAGGCTTGACCCAAATTTTCAGCGAGGCTCAGTGGGGTACAGTTGTTCCAAGGAGTGCTGTTTGTGCTAGCGGGTCTGCAGGAAGGTACAAGCGGGGAAATGTTGCTCAGGGGGTGGGCTGCTGTGTGCAGGAGGGTTCAGGGAGTCTTGTAGCAGACTTGCAGCCTGCCTCGCTCTTGCTTTTTTTTTTTCTAGCCTGGGATTTTGTTTATGTAGGAAAAGTTTTTCTTTTAACTGCTGCTTGCTGTGTTTCTGAGAACAAACAGGGCCCTTAAAGAGCTGGAAGGCAAACCCTCCCCTCAGTATGGAAGGTGCTCTCTTTGCTGTTCCATTTTTCCCCCTCCCAGCCAGAGGGCTGAAGTTACTCTGGTTATTGCCTAACAAATGTGCAGCTCAGTGCTCGGTCAGAGGCAGGGGTGCGTGCAGCCACAGGAAAACCAAGCAGTACCCTAAAGGAGCTGTCCCAACACAAACTCTCATCCCAAAGCCATTCCAGCCTGGCCAGGAGCTGAGCTGCGGACCCTCTGGCCTGTGTCACACCACGCTGGCCGCACCCCGGTGGGCAGACAAGATTTTTCGTTGGCTTTTCAGCTGGGGCATCTCCCCTGGGTGAAGGACAGCCCCGTGTCCCCGCTGATCCCAAAGGGTCCCCAGGGAGGCTCGCAGCCCCTCGCAGCAGGTGCTGCAGCGTGCGCCGGCAGCTGTCTGCCAGCCCTGGCGGGGAGCAGGGGTCACTGACGCAAGCTTTTTGTGCCTTTCATCAGCGTAAGGCACAGAAAGAGGGAGGGAGGGGAGGCGTTATGCAACTCTGAAAAAAGAAATTAACTCCGCTTTGAAATGAGTTGCAAAACAAGAGAACGAGACCCAAGAAAGAAACCCTCTGGCTATGAGTGAGGCTGTGCCACGCTGCTCATTGATGGGCCTCGGTCCCCTTATGGCTGAGAAAATTTATGGCCCTATCTCTCCTCGGGGCTGTTTGAAGCACAGTAAATGGACTTGTTCAATTTAATTGGAAGACGAGTGGTGATTGTGTTTTTGTAACCTATTAGTCTGCACTGCCTCTTGATCTACGAGCACACTCGAAATTACCTTCTGAAGTACGAGTGAGGGCCTCGTTTCTGCTCACACCTCCATCTTGATTAAATAGCGATTTGAAACAAACAAAAACCCCCACACCCCAAACAATAAGTATATATCCTAGGTTTTCTTGAGGGCATCAGCAGGTCCCCCGCTGAAAGAAGCAAAGTTCACTGAGATTATTTAATTACTTACTGGGGGGGAGGGAGGGGAAGCCAAATGTTCACACAGAGAAAATTAGATTCATGAAAGACCAGGCTCTTTCAAGACAACCTAGAAAAATAAAAAAGCCATTAGAATTCAGTTGAACTCTGCGCAGTGTTTTCAGACGCGGCTCCTGGTTTCCATTTTGTGTGGCCTGTGTGCCTTTCGCAAGCAGCAAAATGGGACCAGGAGCAAAGCCAAGGCCGTCAGATGGGGAAGTCGTCTCTGAGTGGAGAAGTCGAGCACCTTGAGGCCTGTCCTGGCTGCTGGTGCAGGGCAGGAATCCCAGGCCAGGCCTTCCAGCCCTCACAGGCACTGTAGGCTCTATGATTTAATGATATCCACGTGTTGCCTCTTCCCAGAGTGCTGCTGCTGCAGCAGTGGAGCTACAGAGGAGCTTGTTGGCCGCTCAGTTTTTTGCTAGATTTAGCAATGTGCTGACAACAGGTGTCACTTTGAAGGTAGATTTCAGCGAAGGTGAAGCAAGAGTGTATACCCCAGGTCCCAGAGGCAGCCTTAAAAGCTCTTTTAGAAATGCAAAGAAACAGGTGGATTTCTTGGCTGTGAAGAAATAAAGGCCCTTTGGTTTAGACTGGGGGGGAGTAGAAGTGAGGGGTGTCTGCATGTGCAGTGCTGGTGGCCGTGTCCCTCTGAGCAGCCCTGTTCCCACCCCAGGCCTCCTATCTGTGTAGCCAGGGAGCATCTCACATGGTTTTTTACACCCATAAATAAAACGCAGTCAAAAGCTGACTGCCTTTTGCTTAGGGTTCAGGTATAATGCAAGCTGTAAGCCATCTTAAAAAAAAAAATAATAGAAAAATCTGGTTCCATATCTGAAAGCGCAGTCCTGTATTCTCTGGGGTGCCCCTGGGGAGAGAGCTGTGGTTCAGCCCAAGGGTGCCAATTCCCTCAGAGCTCTGGATGCAGTGTCAGGGCTTCAGAAAGAATTGGCGGATAACAGGAGAGCTGTGTGGCTGGTTCTCTCACACTCCTTTGACATGAGCATGGCTTAGAGGTTAGTGTGGAGCAGAGATGGGAGAAGACGGGGAGTCCCCAGCTCCGGCTGGATGGGATGGGATGAACCAATTCCTGCCCCTCTGTGCTTTATCCCAGAAACACTGCCTGTTACTAAACAAGCAGCAAGTACTTGGAGATCCTCCAAGCCCAGGTGTTTTCAGAGCATGAGGGTGTTGTGAGCAGCCCTCCTTCCACGGACTGCTCGCTGAGAGCTGCTGCGTGCTCTGGCAGCTCTGCTCCTGGAGCAGCTCCCCTCCGGTTTCAGTCGGTCTCAGTGTGCATCTGAGTCACCGTCCGTGTCCCAGTTAGCACCTCTTAAATTAAATCGAGAGCAACCCTCCTGATTCTGGGCTCAGAATACCCCAGATTTGGGAGGGCACATCCCAGCTCCCCAGAGAGGCTCGGAGAGCACGAAGGAAGCAGAGGGAGGGTGCTACGTGCCCCAGAGGACGTGAGGGGGGGGTTGAGATTCAGCACTGACTGTCTGGAGTGGGGGGAACCAAGCATACCTGTCCACACTGCAAATCCTGGACCAAAAACTGGGTGGGAGTTAGGAGAGCAGTGAAAAAGGAGGAGGCCACACAAGGGTGCAGGCATGCTAGGTCCGTGTTTGGCCCTAATTCTCCCCATAGCGAGAGCAGGCGCTGGCACTAATGTAGCCCCACTGCCCAGTGCTGGTACGTTCCTGGCCTGGCTCTAAAAGACATGAATAAAGTTAAAACTGAAGGGTTAAAATATTCAAATGATGTAAAGCCCCCAGTGGTGCTCAGGGTCCCAGATGACAGCCCTGGCCGAGGCAGCCACATGGATACGGGGTCCTTGCTCGCCACATCAGGGTCAGCAGCCCACCAAAAACCATCCCGGGTATGGCTGAACACCCCAGCTGGCAGGAGCAGGGCTATCCCCCATCCCAGTAGCTCTCCAAACCAGCAAAACAAGGGGGATATTTTTCCCTCCTCTACTTTATTTTTTTTGCTTCTTCCTTCAAGCTGCTTTTGCTACTTCCATGTCTCTGTGGGCCACCAGGAAACCCGAGGGGATTTAGCGCAAGCCACGACTTTTCAGCACAAGTGAGCAGCCTCCGGGAGCAGGCTGGTTAGCCTAATTTAAACCAGAAGGAAACAAAAATGAATAATAAGTGAGACAAGCAAGCAGACAAAAAGCAGGCTTGACATTTACATAGCGGAGTCAAGTGAACAGTTGGCAGTGTGGATTGAAGAGAGGGTTTATGTTTTTTTCATGTAATTTGAGACTCTAATGATGGACTTATGTTGCCCGCTCTTCCTTTTTTCTTACACCTTACCTACTAAAGGAGGAGTTCTTGATGGGTAAGTGGATGCTATCCGCAAGACACCAGGGAATTTATTAGAGGTCACTTGAGCGCATTAGCTGTATCTTCTTCAGGGGGAAAAAAGCACACAAAGAAGTGTCTGTATACCTTTTATTTCCAGAGGGTTTTTTCTTTTTTTTTTCTCCCTCCCCCCATTTTTATTTTATTATTATTTTTTTAATTTTCAAAGTGCTAAGCTTGTTTATTTGCCAATTTTTATATGTACAGAAGCCCTTGATTTGATTTGATTTTTACTTTAGTGACATTTATTCACCCTCTTTATTAAGGAAGCTTTTTTTTTAAAAAAAAAACAACACTCATTTAAGAATGTTTCCTTTTTTTCCCCCCCAAGATTTATGTAGTTTATTTGTATGTATATTCCTTTTTTTTTTTTTTTTTTTTTTAGATTTCCCTCCTTTTAGGTTAAATAAGGGCTTTTTCCTCTGTTACACCCTTTTTATTTAGTTAGTTACTTTGACTGTTTGGTTGCCCGTTTACTTTGTTGAACTCTTTTGTTTAACATGAATCGCATGCTGATACTCTTTGCATGATCTCTAAATCTTCCCGTTATCATAGCAGGGGGAAAAGAAGTTTCTTCTTACTGTGGATTTCTTTCAGGGATATGTGCTTTTGTTTTCTTCTCTTTCTTCTTTTTCTTTCTTGCTTTCTTACTTTGTTTGTTTCTTTCCTTTCCTTTTGTTTCAGTGCATCATGATGGTAAAATTTCTGGGTTTATTTAAAAAAAAAAAAATCAAAGTAAAACCAGAAACAATCCCCCTTAAAAAAATGTTCAAACAATGCCACATGGCTTTTTTGCTTTCAGATCTCTCAGTCAGGGTCTTCTGCTGACCTCTTTACCAAAACAGACAGCCCGCCGGGCAACCTAGCCAGCCAGAACGGAGAGTATCATGAATATGACTCAGGAAACGATACTTCCTCCCCTCCCTCCACTCAAACGAGCTCATCCAGGTCCAAGGACAGCCAGGAGAAAAGAAGTCTAGTCCATGATGGCTTTGGCCATGCCTTCTCGTCCGGGAAGCCCAAACTGGCCAACAGTGATAACAGCTCTGATTCAGGAAATTCCTTCACCAGTTGCTTTTCCCAGACCAAGGCGACAGCTTTGGAAAATCTGTCTCCAGATGCCCAGGGACAAGACCGAAGGTCAGTGATTACCAGCAGCTGCTGCTGGCAGCCAAATACCTGCTACGGCGTTGCTCTGTATCTCCTGCCTGCTTGCCAGTTGCGGCAGTGAGCTGGCAGGGAGGTTTTTGTGGTCTGGAGAGAGTTAGATGTAAATCAGACCCGCGGTCTTGCCAGTCTGGAGTCGGGAACCCAGCATTGAGCAATGCTTTAGCCCGAGGAGGAAGATGAAAACGCAGCCATCCCATCCCTGGGCATTGCCTGTGCCTGCTCTTCTGGTGTTAATGTGGCTTGTCTGGGGTTTGACCCCATGCAGAGCAGTGTCCTGAGCACAGCCCTGCTCTGCTGGACACGACCGTGTCCTTGGGCCTTCTGGGCAAATTCTGGAAAGGTGCCTGAGGGGTTCCCTTGCAAATTATTTTACTGTGGGGAAGGGGAATGGGGTTCATTTTCACTAAAATCATTACAAGCTATTTTTTCACCTGTCCAATTGAGCCAAATCCAGTCTGTCCCTTCCTGCCTCCTTTCAGGACTGGTCCTGGGTGACCAGACAGCATTTTGTGCATGTGGGGATCACAGGGAGAGGCAGGTGCTGTGCTGGCTGTGGGATAACAGCAGCAGCTCTACACTGGTACCACAGTGCTGCTGGAGCTGGGAGCTGGAGTCAGGCACAGTCTGGAGCCACAGGACATCATCAGGAGAGGGACGTGGTTCCAGCCTCCATCACTGCCTCCCTTTTCTGTGGATTTGCTCAGTGATGTTGAGGATGAAGGCGCTGAAGCACAAGGGCTGGTACCCAAGGCTGTGCTCAGGCGGTGGTGTTAGGGAGTGATTCCAGGCCCTCAGGTCTTAAACACCAAAAATTAGAGCCAGGCTGTGGTCCAGAAGCGGGAAGGAACCGGGAGAATTGGTATTAGGAAGGACGAGTCCCGAATTTTCAGTCAGAGGACACAATTTTAAGGCCCTCTATACTTCTCACACCGTGACTCCAGTGAGATAACTCTGCCTTCGCATGGGTGGAGCTGGAATTGCAGCTGGCCACTGCTGTTGGTAGGCCAGCCCCGACGCACAGCCAGGACACTTCTCCTGGAGGTGCAGAGATTCACACAGACCTCTCAAAAGGCAGCGGGACGTGCCTGCTCACACTGCTGTGCAGGCCCACAGCTCTGGCTGTCCTTGCTGTAGGGCTTCTCCTCGCCTCGCTGCCTCCCCAGGCCTGCAGGGCACGGGGCAGAAGAGCTGCCTGAGACCTGGAGGCTGAGCTCTTGTGCTCTGACAGCAGGAGCCTAGGAAACCAGGAGGTTTTTATCCCCTTTGGGACTGGGAGGACGGGAGTGCTGTTAGCTCATGTAAGCCGTAAGCCACGGCTTAACTGAGCACCCGAATATATATGTTTTCAGAGCGTGCCTGTCCTTGTGTCTCAGCTGTTCGGAGGAGAAGAAGCGAAATTTGTCCCCGTCCCCAGCCCCCAGCTCCCCGGCAAGGCCGTGCTCCCGCAGCGAGTCGTACAGCAGCACGGACAGGTCCTCCCCTGGCTCCAGCCGCTCCAGCCGCTCCCGCTCCTCACACCACAGGGCCTCCCCCAGGTACTCCCGAAGCAGGTCCTGCTCTTCAGGGAAGAGGTAAGGCCAGTGCAAACGGCTGTCTCTGACACCCTGGGCAGCTTCCAGCCCTTTGCAGGCTGTCAGACTCCTCGGGGAACTGGGTGAGAGGGTTTTTGTCTGTGGATTGGGAACCACATAGCTCCTGCGATATGGGACATCTCTTCCCCCCATCAGCCAAGATTAGGAGGAGTCTGGTGCTGTCTCGCCTTCCAGCATCTTTAACTCATACATTTATTCCCTATCCCCAGGTCTTCTTCACGGTCCCCCAGCTATTCTTCCAAATCCTGCAAAAAAAGTCCTGGAAGCCGGAGTTCAAAGCCTCGCCGGAGCCCCAGTTACTCCCGCTACAGCCCCAGCAGGTACAGCTGCCTGCATGAGATAATTGCTGCCTCATGCCTCCCCACTGCCTTGTACTCCAGCCTGGTGCCCTCTGCCAGCCCCAAACTGCTCCCCAAGCTTCCTTGCTGGGTGCTTCAGGCACCCCAGTACTCCTCAGCAGAGTGAAGGAGGAGCAGGGAGACACAGAGCAAGGTTTATATCTGTATGTTATGTTGGCCTGCAGCCCTATGGAAATATCTGCCCGTTTATTGCCCCAGAGCTGGTGCTGGAAGCAGAGGAAAGAGCCCAGCAGCGAGCCTTTCGCTTTCTGTGGCAAGAGGGGATTTCCTATAGCTGAGAAATACCCACCCTGCATTGATTCAGGAGAATTTCACCCTGAAATGTCCCGCTCTCAGGGCAGGGAGGGAGGCTGGTGTACCCCCAGCACTGAAGCACCGCAGCACCTCGTACTCAGCGGCTCTTCCTCCGCTCCGAGCTGCTGCGAAGGACGTGCTGCTCGGCAGGGTGCACAGATGGCTGCCCGGGGATGTTTGCCAGGGCCTCGTGCAAGCAGGAGGTGCCTCACAGGAAAACCCGGGGAGCTCCGGGGCTGTGAGCAGTGGGCAGAGCGTTAGGCTCCAGCCGGGTCTGCCCGTGGCTTCCATCATCCAAGAAGCCCACGGCAGCCAGCAGCACGCCCCTGCGGCGGGGCTGCAGCCCTTGTCAGAGAGAAATCTTAGTGCAGCAGGGAAAGACGTGCAGCAGGGAAGCTTTTCAGGGCTGCGGCTCTGCCAAAGAGGTGTCAGGCCCTGAGAAGTGTCCCTGCTGTGTGGGCAGATGCCAGGTACCCTCGTGCTGGCGCTCGTTCAGCCACGCAAGGGGAAGCACGGTCCAGGCGGCTCCGCTCACTCCACACCCTGCAGGAGACACACATCTCACAGCTCAGCCCCGGAGATGCCTTTGGGCAGTTGTTTTTTTTTTTTTTCTTTCTGGTAACATCTCTGCTGCTGAGCATACTGTGAACATTTGGCACCCTTAAATGTTACATTCCCGGGGCTTGATTCCTGCAAGCTGCGACAGTCCCTGCTCTGCCGTAGGAGAACGTTTCCTGTGTGCAGGGCCCGGGCTCCTGCTCTGTAACGTCGCGCTTTGCAGATGGCAGCGAGCAGGGAACGGGGTGTATGAAATCATCCGTGTACCGCAGAAGGGCCTGTGCTGACGTGTACGGGAGTTTAACAAAAGATAAAACCATAGCAACCCCGACACTCCTTCTGGCGAGCCGTGCGGCCCTGCAGGGGTACCTGGGGCCCTCGGTGTGCGTGGGGCCCGCTGGCAGGGCCGTGCTCGCCTGGTTTCGCAGCACAGCCAGCAGGAGCAGCTTTAGCAGAGCTGTGGAAATACCGAGTGCAGCTACAGGCATGGGTACGGGGGAACCATCTTAGCTCAGCAGCGTGGGACAGCCAGGAGACTGCTGAATCCTCCAGGCAGCCCAGAACTGGTCGGTGTCTGTCTGTCAGGCCCCACAAGTGTCTCACTGCCCAGCTGGTTGCGTGTGCAGGGCTGATGCCACCAGAGCTCCGAGCTTTAGGGTGCTCCCTTTTGGAGCTGCGCGCCTTTCTGGGTAGTTTTCTGGGCATTCAACCCCAACGCAGCCAACTGCACCCGCACGAGCCCAGCGCTGACTGTTCCCAACCTTCCCTAGGGACCGTGAGCGAGAGCACAAGTACGGCTCCAGCGAGAAGGAGACGCACAGGGAGCGCGACCGGCGGCGGCGGTGCTCCTACTCGCCCCTGAGGAAACGCAGGAGAGACTCCCCCAGCCACCTGGAAGCGCGGCGCATCACGAGGTATGGGGACATTCTGGGACACCGGCCTGTCCCTTGGAGGGAGGCAGGTTCAGCTGTCCCTGCTGGGGGATGTGGGATGTTCTCTGGTCCCAGCCCTTGCCTGTGGAGGTTTCTCCAGCAGGAGGCCGGTTCCCCTGAGCCTGATCAGCAGGCCCATCTGCCACTCCTAGAGCTTCAGCATTTCCAGCTAGAGGCAGAGAGAGGATGCAGGGGTCTCGTTTACAGGCACTGAAGAAAAAAGGCAGATGAAGTCAGAGCAGGGACTTGCCCATCAGATCCGAGGTGCATCCCCCTGCAGGTTTTTTGCTTCGCCCTCTCCTGTGGTAGATGTCCCAGGCACAGAGAGCCTGTAACCCTCACGCTGAGGGCTTCTGGGGACAGCATCAGGCAGAGCCCAGCCTCAGACTTGGTGCTTGGGGCGTTCCCCAGGGCCCTGGAAGTGGGTGGCAGGAATCCCAAAGCCTGTCAGCTACCTACTTTATTTCTTTTAAATAAACAAACAAGCCGGGAGGCTGTCAGTACAGCGTAAGCAGCACTTTCTGGAGGTTTAGGCAGTAAATCTGTCCCGGTGTTCCTGGTAACCCACATCTTTCTGTCCCCACAGTGCCCGCAAGCGCCCCATCCCCTACTATCGGCCCAGTCCTTCCTCCAGCAGCGCCAGCAGCTACTCCTCTTGGTACAGCAGCTTCAGCCGCTCCCCCAGCCGCAGCCGGAGCTACTCCAGCTCCCGGACGAGCCGGAGCCGCAGCTGGAGCAGCAGCAGCGGGGAGGGCAGGAGCCGCAGCCGCAGCTCGGGCCCCAGAAGCAGCCGCAGCCGGAGCAGGAGCTCTGAGTCAGGAGGCAGCTCCGACAGCCTGCGGCGCTAGGGAGTGCCACCGATGGCTCGCGCGCTGCCGGCACCTCCGAATTCCTGGCATTCTCCACGTCCTTCCCACCTACCCGGCCATCGAGAGCAATCACCCCGATACCGATGCGATGGCAGCACCGGGTCTCCCTTCCCCACTTCGGACACAGTAAGAGGCTGCCTGCGCACGGTGCGGCTCCTTCGCCACCTTGCAGAGAGGATGGGTCTGTCCCGGCTCTCCCAGCCGGGGCTGGAAGAAGGGTCGGTGCCCCACAGAGAGCCTGGTACTCCAGATCTGCTCCGTCCTCACCAACAGCCCCCATCTCTCCACCGCTGCCATTCTCCAAGAGCCACCAGCTGGTCCAAAGGAAGAATTTGTCTCCCTGCTCTTCTCCTGCCAAACCGGTAGCCAGCAGATTAATTTCCCTTGGAGGAAGAGACACATTTAGGGAGGAATTTGCTGGGAAGCTTTAGTGATGAGTGGGGGTGACCTGTCATAACCAAGGCAAATATCAGGTCCCGTGGGTGTCTCCCCCGGAGTTTCTGCCCACTCTGCAGCAGGCCTCTTCCATGAGAATATTTATTTATTGCCAGAAGCCAGTCTCTGCTAGAAATAGAAGGCTAGGAATCCCTCCTGATGTTAACTCCAGGGGAAAAAAAAAAAAAAAAAGCTCCTGCCTTTTCCTACCAGGTGTGCGTTCATCTTTCACGGGGTCGTTTTGTTTTCCCCCAGCACTGAGACTCGTGAACGTGCTGAGGTCTGAAGCAGATTTGGGAGTGGGGAGTCAGTGCCATGGTGTGAGAAGTGAGGCTGTGGGGTTCCCCTCTTGGAGGCCTCTCCTGCAGTTTGGGGGCAGTTCAGGTTTTTCTAAGGGTTCCTTGATCTCCAAGAGCAAGGTGGGACTGTGAGGAGCTGAGGGCGCTGGGTTAGCTCCGGCGAGGTACCTGCAGCGGGGTGTAGGGAGAGCACATGGGGCAGAAGGGCTGTGTGTGAGCCAGGGAATCCCAGCTCCACATTCCCTTAACAGACAGCGGTGGTCAATAGAAGGAGGGTTTGGGGCAATAACTTCTCCTTGAGGCTCAGGCTCCCCTTGAAGTCAGGATCAGCCTCATCACTCCAAGTGTAAACCCAGAGGAGATTTTCCCTCCCTGGCACTACACAGCCGAAAAGGCTCCGCTCTCAGCTCTGGCCACGGGGTGACCGAGCGGCTCCCCGACGCACGGCGCGGGGTTTGGCCTCCCCCAGCACTCCACCGCTGCTCCGAGGCTCTTCCCCTCCCCAGAGCTGCAGCAGGGTGCAGGGGAGCCCAGGTTGGTGCTGGGGGGACAGGAAGGGCCCCCACTAATTGCCTGTTTTTCCCAGGAGGGCCCTGCCTGCCTGGGCGGCCCTGCGGTTTTGTCTCCCTGCCAGGCTTGCCAGCCCAGCTGCCTGCGCAATTACTGTGTTTTGCAGGGTAACAAAGGCTTCTCCCAGCACAGGCTGAGCTGGTGCTGAGGATTTTCTTTCTCTTACAACACCTGGCTGCTTAGAGACGCTAATTTAGGCTTAAGACTTCCCTCCCTCCCTTTTTCCATCCCCTCCCCTTCCATCCTGCCTGATTATTAACAAGTTTGGGCTTAATGAGTCAAGGAGGTGTGTCATGTAAGTGTCACAGAAAAGGGCTAAGGGGAGCCAGCATCTGCTGGAGGAGCAGAGGGCTTAGAAAGAAAAGCAAACTCACCAGATAAAGGGTTACCCAGGGCCCTGCTCCTGCTGGCAGCAGGTAAAGGGGCCAAGCTGTGAGCAGACGAAAGACAAACACAGCCTGGATGATTGCCTTATCAAGCAAATAAGCGTGTTATCTGCTGGAAAAAACAGTAGCGAGGGTTATTCTGCTACCTGGCTGGTACACGGGGAGGCTCGATGCCAGGGGTCCCCTTTTCCCAGTCTCATTCCCACTGCTGGTGCCCCTTGCCCTGTGCCTTCCAGCCCAAGCCCCGCTTATTTCCCGGTGCCCCTGCCTTGTTCCGTGGGGGTGATTTGAGGGTGGCTGAGGCACAGAGCTGGGCTCCTGGGGCTGCTCCGTGGGGAGACATCCAGCTCCTGGGGGCCACTTCCTAGGGCATAGAGAAAAAAATTCTTGGCAGGGCTGAGCAAATCAGGGCGCTGTGGCTGAGGATCGAAGACAGGGCGTTTGTGCAGCAGGGTGCTGATTCCTTCCCCTTGCCCTGGGCCTGGCAGCAGCCCCTGGGCCATCTTCTGCAGTGAGCTCCCTTCTTGTAAAGGGCTGAAAACCTCACGCTTCTTCCCCAGAGAGTCTCTCCCAGTTTGGCATTTGAATGCTCTGTAGAAGACCTGATGGCAGTGAGCGGAGACCCAACCCCAAATCCACCGGTGCACGGAGAGTTGCCCCCTGCCCGCGTACCCCTGAACGCACACTTGTGTCTGCAGCAAGGCAGCAGCGAGCCAGGCGGGCAAAAACCAGGAAAGAAAAGAAGAGCTTCGTGGTGTAAATACCCAAACCCAGCGCTGACTGGAGTTCCTCGTGGCTGGGGACGGACGAACAAACACCGCGTCGGGGTCCGGCTGCCCCGCGCCTCCGGGACTGCCTCCGCCTGCACAGTCCATGGCAGCTAAACGCTCCTGGGGTTTCCCAAGTGACTCGCGTCGGAGCAAACCTCTTAATTTATTTATTTATTTATTTATTTATTATTATTAATTATTCTCTTTTTAATCGGACGTCCGAACGGATGCAGGTGGCCGCCGTGAGCAGTATTTATTTATTCTATTTTTTTGGGGGAAGGGGAAGGTTGCCGGGGGGGGGGGGGGGGTGGGAGGGACAATTAAGTTATTTTGGGACCCGTTTGCCTGTTCTGAGCGTCTCCGTGTCGCCGTTGCTGTGTAGAGGTTCTCGCAGCGCCTGCCTCTCGGCCAGGGGCTGGGCTCCAGCTGCTGCCAGCCCCGCTTCCCCCCGGCCCCGCTGCCGAAACCGGGCTGCTCGGCACCGCTCCGCCGGCTTCCCTGGGAGGAGGAGGCCGTCGCCAGGACTCCCCGGTGTTGTTTATCACCGCGCCACGACCCACCCATGGAAAAACTGAAGAAGCCAGACCGTGAGAGAGCGAGCTGCGTGCGGGAGGTGCTTGCAAAACCCAGCCGCCAGTGACAGGACCGAACCGTCCGCGTGTACACCTGTGTGTGTGTGTATGTGCCTATGTGCATATACATGTGTATGTTTCCCTCGGTGGTATTTATCTCTTTATTTTTTAACTTATTTAAGGTTTTTCAGTACAAACCAGACCATCAGCCTCCCTGTCAGTGGACAACTGGGTTTTCTGTCAGTTTGCGAGAAGCCCGTGAGCTTTTCTGTCTCTGTGCCTTTGCCAGTGCTTCTTTTTTTTTTTTTTTTTTTTTTTTTTGCATTTTCACTCATTCGTTGCTGTTATGGGATTTTTTGCTTCCAGCTAGGCGGGCAGCTCGCTCCTTTTGGTGCAGGTGAATCGCTGCTCATCGGCAGCCGCTGCACCCAGGACCAGCTGGGGCCTCACCGAGAGCAGCGAGGCTTTGGGGCAATCTCTCTGCCACCTTACGGAAGCGCTGTCTCAAAGGGTAGAGTTCTCTTTCCTCATTCAAGGGCTCCTTCCTGCCCGTGATTTTGTTTCTGTCCCAAGCACCCTGGTTGCCTTTCCACGGCAGAGCACACGACGCAGCACCCACAGCACACGTGTCCCCCCGGGACTCTCCCTGCTCCCTGGACCAGCCTTGTCTTGGGGTTCCTCCTCTCCCACCCCATACACTGGGGCCAGATTCCAGCAAACCCAGCCCAAAATCCCCCTGCGGTTTTGCTGAAAAGCGCAGAGAAGGGATACTTCAAAGCACCGTTGTGTTATTTCATCACGGGTTGCAGCACTTGCTCGTGCTCTGCTTTCTGTTGACCATAACTTTTCTCCATGTTTTTGTTGTTCTGGGGGACTGACGTTGTACCAAACCTGTCTGCAACAGCCAATCAACGTTATTTTGCTATGCATTGTACATATATTGAAAAGGCTGAGAGGACTCAGCCTCTTATTTAATATTTATTTCTCCTATTTATTGAGCATTACTTAGAAAAACTATTTGGGTCTTGCCATTGGGTCCAGGAATGTTGGAGCCTTTTGCATGCAGCGCGGTGTGCCGTATATGCTGGAGAGAGGTGACTTCCCGCGGGGGCTGGCCTCTGCCAGCTCGGGGGCATCTGCCAGACCAACGAGGCTCCTTGGGAGCTCAACCACCAGAGACTGAGGGAGAAATATCAGGGCTGCGGAGCTTGCTCCTGTCCTCTCCCCAGCGCTGCAATGAGCAGGAGCTCCCGTCTTTGAAACAAAAGGTATTTGTTTGCAGTAGGGTGTTTGCTTGAGAAAGGGACGGATTTAGGTGCCTAACTGAAGTCTTTGCCCTTTAGTGTCCCGCGGGGCTTTCTTATCTCTGTACTCGAGGATGAATGATTCCTATCACTTTTGCTGCTACCTGGAAGTTTGCACAGGATCAGGAGGGTTTCTGAAGCACCGCTACATCCGCTGCTGCAGCAACAGCTTCACGGGAAAGCAGCCTGATCTGGGGCTCTTGCTTAGAGAACAGCACCCCGAGCACCAGGGCAGCTCTCCATGTTCAAAATCCAGGGAATGGGGAGATTTAGAACAAAAGCCAAGACAGGAGAAAAGCTGCCAGGGAAGCGGTGTCCCTGTTTTCTCGCCTGTTGGTCGATTCCTTACCAAATTATACCGGCACAGCTGTTCATTTGACTCCGTTGTAAAACTACCTTTGCTTTCCATGGAAATGCATACTGTATTCTTTAGTCTTCCTGGGGTATTTGAGTTGTTAGCCTGTTTAGAAAAAGGGTTCCAATAAAGATTCAGATGGTATCTGGTTCTCATCACAGCCCCGTTTCTCATGTTCCTTTTGGATGCGGCTGGGTGCGGCAGGATATTTTGGGTTCTTTCAGCTGCTCGGTGGGGCAGGACATGTGCCTGCACTCTCAGCTGCTGAGAACTGGGTCCTCAGGGCATGGACTGGAGCAAAAACAGTTGTTCGGGTTCCTGCCAGCTCTCCTTTCCTCGCTGGGCCGGGCTTTTGCTGCCCTTTGCTGTGGGATTTGGGTCACCCCCAGTTCAGCCAACGCTAGCGCAAGCCAGAAACGCAGCTGTTGCACCGGGGGGGTCAGGGTTTGGGGGCTCCACAGGGATGATGCCCCTCACCTGGGGATGCTCCTCGGGACCAGCCGTGTGCGCTGGTCGTGGCACTGGGCTGAGCCCCGATGGCAGCTCAGTTGTGCACCCAGGAAGGCTCCGGCCATGGGACAGAGACAACAGGGACGTGGGGCAGTGTCCCCACGTCCCTCGGCAGATGGGTGGCCGTGCCGCGCTCCCCAGAGCTGACGTGGCGCCGCTGGCAGCCGCGGGGCTGGCTGGGCAGTGGGAGGCAACTGGGAGGTTTGGAGTGACAACAGGAGCTAAATCGGGATGGCCCCGGAGAGGGACGTGTGACTAATCGGGATAAACAAGGCGACAAGGCGAATTCCTGGCCGGGGAGGGAGGATGGCCCGGAGCTACTGGGGAAATGCAGGACTGAGGAAGTGGGGAGGCTCCTGGGAATGCAGCAGGGATGGTGGTGGCCATGGGGCTGCACCAAACCTCCCCGAGGCTCAGCCCCTCTTTCCATGGGCTGGTGTCACCCCCAGGACACCTGTGTCACCCCGACTGGGGGGAGCCCTCAGCCAGGCAGGACAAAGGGACAGAGAAAGACGCTTCGGCCTCTGCTGGCAGCCGCCTCCCTGCTCCTCCCAGGCCTCTCCAAGGCATCCCCTTCGGTCCCCAGGGAGCCCCCGCCATGCCTGGCCATGCCCCCGTGCACGCAGCGGTGCCGGAGCCGAGGGATGAGCAGGGGAAGCGGCCGCTCCCTACGCCAGCCAAGGCAGCTCCCTCCCCAGCGGTGCCGCGCCGGCGCAGCGTGATTAATGCCGTCAGAGTGACCAGCAGCTGAACCGCCGCGCGGCCTGCAGCGCGTTGCGGCCTCCCCGCTGCAATTAGCGCCATCGAGTCCATTAGAAAAATTGCAGGAGCGGGAGGCAGAGCCGGGGAGAGGACGCGGCGTGAGGAAGTGGCCCAGCACCTGGCACTGCGCATCCTCGGCGCATCACCCACCCACCCACCTCAGCCGTGCCAGGACCCCCTGCAGGGACACCACCAGGTACCCCCACTTGCACACCACGGGCACCCTGCTCGCACCGCCGCCACCGCACCCCTTCCCCCTGCACGCTGCCCTGTAATTAGCTCCGCCACCACCGCTGTGATTAGCACCTCGCCCTGCTGCAGCAGGGCCGGGCACGCGGCGAGGAGGAGGAGGGCGAGGGGGCGAGGACCCTGCCTGGCTGCTCTGTGGGGTCCCGCTCTCCCCAGGCAGTTTGGGAGCATTGCTCCAGGCCCAGCCCCGGGCATCAGCCTGCAAATCCCAACCGGCTTCGTCCCCTCGTGTGCCATGCTGGGGGGTGGCGGTGACGCATTTCCCAGCACAGGGGGCTGCTCAGTGGCGTGGGGACACGTGGCCATACAGTGCGGGGGCCGGACCCACCGGGGGGGTATTTTTAATGGGTGACATTGGGGCGAAAGCGATGAGCTCCGGGGTTATTTTTAGGCAGGGGCCAGGGCAGCTGCTGAAAACGCCGTGGCCCCGTGGCTGCAGGGATCCTCGGGCCAGCAGGAGAGGTCAGCTGCCGCAGCCCAGATTCTCCACGGCTGTTTCATCCTCTCCAAAATACTCGGCTGACAGGGCAGGAATTGCAAAACACAGCCTCCCCCCTCCCAAAGCCGTATAAATAGCGCTCGCCCGGCGGCTGGAAGGTTACAGAAGTTTCTCGGCTCCGAGCTCAAGCATTTATTGCGGCTCTCACCCGGGAGCGGCGGGGAAGCCGCACCGTGATTGTAGGAGAGAGAGGGGAGAGATAAGCTTTTAATCTTGGGATATTCGTGTTTGTTTGGTTGTTTTTTTTCTTCTCTGGCCGAGAAGTTTTATTTTCCACCGCCCGATCCCTGGGACTGAAGCCAACCAGGAAGCTTTTTTTTTTTTTTTCTTTTGGTCCAGAGATCTCCTCCGTCCTTCCTGCACTTGCTTTTCGAGCGCCGAATGGTTCAGCCCTGAATCGGGGTTCCTCCATCGCCCTCCGCCTGGTGCCGGGGAAGGAGCAGCCCCCACCGCGCCCACCCGAGCCCCCTCCCGTGTGGATGCGCTTGCCCCGGGCTGGGCTCCCCGGGGAATTTTACAGCCAGGAGCGGCCCCACTGAGGCTCCGTGAGCCCCAAGCCGCCGGAGCGGCGAGCCATGGCCGACAGCCAGCTGCCCTTCTCCTGCCATTACCCCGGCAGGCGAAGCGTCCGCGACCCTTTCCGGGAGCCCGGCTTGACCTCGCGCCTCCTGGACGATGATTTCGGCATGTCGCCCTTCCCCGGGGACCTGACGGCGGACTGGCCCGACTGGGCTCGGCCCCGGCTCACCACCACCTGGCCGGGCCCGCTGCGCGCCGGCATGGCCCGCGCCTCCGCCATGGCCCCCGGCTACGGCGCCCGTTTCGGGGGCTACCCCGAGAGTCGCAGCCCCGTGCCCGCCTCCCGCGAGCCCTGGAAGGTGTGCGTCAACGTGCACAGCTTCAAACCCGAGGAGCTGACGGTCAAAACCAAGGATGGCTACGTGGAGGTGTCAGGTGAGAGCCAAAGTGCGGGGACGAGGAGGAGGAGGAGGATGGGGCGCAAAGGTCCTGCCCTGCCTGC